CAGTTTGATATAGCGCCAAATTTCTTCCTCAAATTTTTTGAAAGCATTGAGGTGATCTCGTTTACGCTGTGCTATAAGAGACTTAACATTCGACGACTGAAACATTGCCGCACCTGCAATTCAGCCTAGTGATAATACAGTCCAGTAACAATTATAAAACAGTTGGTCAGCGCACCGACTGCCAGTGCGAAGATGCGTTTTTTGCATAGTTACCCGCACGTTCTTGTCGCTAAAGGCATTGCTTTTTCTTGCAGATGATTCTAGCTAAAAGAACTGAGACTGGCCACCCGAACTGTAAGAAAGCATTTCCCTTAAAATTTCAGCTTTTTGGCTTTTCTGGTTCCCGAGTTAGCAGCTTACCCACCGATAACTTTGACAGGCCCGCACGTGGGACAGGTGAGAAATCGGTACACACGAACATGCAGACACACACGCACATACATACACATACACACAGATAAGCCCTTGACAATATGGGTTTTCGCATTGCATAAATTTTCGGAAAAACGCATAGAAAATTGAGCAGTGCGTCGCATGAAAAATCCAATAAGCAGTGTGCGCTTCTTGCCACCACTAATTTCAAGCATCCTGCTCAGAGAAGTATAAATTTGCGAAGAATAATTTCATCTCTATTTGGTTATCCGAAATGTGAATTTTACCTCCAAGCATAGTTAACAATGCCAAACTGCGAAAAATAATTTATGTGTTCTACTGCAGTGCTGTATGTATTGCGTTCACGTTCAAACTAGTAGATGTACGAATTATTTTCTAAAATTCTACAGATATGTTTAGCTTGAATGCCAAAAAATGATATCTGTCGATGACAATATTAAGCAATTTCAAAAAAAAGCCAATTTTTCCAAACGAAAACAGAGACCACTAACAGGAAATGTTTGCTGAAAAGTCAGCCGAAAGGTTGGCTCCTTTTCGACCACTAAAAAAAATTATCAAAAAATGATCGCAAAGATGAGCAACTGGAGGCAACGTGCAGTAGCAAAAAATCTCTCAGTGCAAGCTTATGCAGCAACAACGGCGCTACCAATAATTCCTCCAGCAACGGAACTTTCGTGATCGAGGTTCGTTACTTTGTATTTTTAGACTTTCTTTTAAATATTATCCAAAGGTCGTTTTTTTTTTTTTTAAAATCCCTTTCAAGTCCTTTTATAATTTTTATTGGACCTTGTTTTCTCTTTTATCTATTCCTTCTTCATCCCATTCTCACTCCCTTAATCCCACAATCACAGCTCTTCCCTTTCTTTCCTTACGTCTTTCTCTATCTCCTTCTCTTTTCTCCGCCATTAAACACTGCGATCGTCATAGATAACGAGGTCGTGTCGCGAGACTATATGACTTAATGGATCGAAACGTCTTATCTCATTCCTGCCTCCTTTCCTCATTCTTTCTTATGACGAGATTCTGACGCAATGTTGAGTTAAGACGTATATGACTTAATGGACCGAAACGTCTTATTTCATTCTTGCCTCCTTTCCTCATTCTTTCTGCGTTCTGTATTCAATTGCGCCTTCGACACTTTGGCATCCAAGATCAACCTGGATGTTACGATCGGCTTATGCAAACCGATTTTCGTCATCTCTGTATTAAAAAAGTCGTCAGAAGGACTCACCAAATTCATTACGGGCTGGTTTCTCTTCAACAACAAGTTCTTCGAGATATGACTGCTTTTCCTTATCCTGAAAAATTGTAACGGCAAATTTCGTAATCTTCAAATTTTATCTATATTTTCTGAAGCATCTTTGTGAGAAAACAAAGTCGCTCAAGCATTTACTATGGAGCTCTAAATATAACTCCGGTGCACCAATTTCAGGAATTTTAAAGATACAAACAATGAATATCCCTGACTAGGAGATTGGAAGAGGACAGGGGCCTGAAATGTTGGATTTTTAGCCAAGCGTAGTGTATTTTACCAAGATTTTTCGCCCTGAGCTACTAGTCAAGCGTACGTATCTTCAGCTTCCCGAATAGCCATTTTCTGTCTAATCCAATGGAAGCAAAGGTAAACGGGAGAAGGTAAGGACCAGGAATGCTAATTTAGGTTCCGGGGATCGAAAGAGAAGGGGAGGGAACTGA